CCATTTTTTTTTCCTTTGTCTTCTTTGCGTCTCTTCTAATTTTCATCCCAGCAATGACCTAAATCTGGTTTCTTGCAGGTTAAGCCTTCTTTAACACTCTTGCCATCTGTTCTCCTTCTGGCTCTGAAGCACAAGATTTTACCCTCTGGTAATTTTTCATTAAGCTAATCTTTGTACAGCTTACAAAGTGCTTTTCAGCTGACAAGTCTTACATTTCATAATCAGTGCTTATTTTATTATACTATGATGGTAGAAATTGACCTTTTGAGCAAACATCTATATGTTATAAAAATACTATGTGAACTGGCCCAAATCCTTTCAAATATGAAATTTTATTTCACATAGTAATTATCTTTCATATGACCGACCATTATAAAATTTACTCAGGGAGTTTTTAAACATAATTTTGGAGAACTTTCTTAATGTCTGAGGAACATTACAATAGAGTGATTCTTTTTTTTTCTGTACTTTATTTTATTGAAGTATAGTTGATTTATAATGTGTTAATTTCTGCTGTACAGCAAAGTGATTCAGTTATACATACATATATATTCTTTTTCATATTCTTTTCCATTATGGTTTATGACAGGATATTGAATATAGCTCCCTGTGCTGTGCACTAGGACCTTATTGTTTATACATTTTATATATAATAGTTTGCATCTGCTAATCCCAAACTCCTAGTCCATCCCTCCCTCACCCCCTCACCCTTGGCAACCACAAGTCTGTTCTCTACGTCCGTGAGTCTGTTTCTGTTTTGTAGGTAAGATCATTTGTGTCATATTTTAGATTCCACATGTAAGTGATAACATATGGTATTTGTGTTTCTCTTTCTGACTTACTTCACTTTGTATGATAATCTCTAGGTCCATCAATGTTGTGGCAGATGGCGTTATTTCATTCTTTTTTATGGCTGAGTAATATTCCATTGTATGTATGTACCACATCTTCTTTGGTGGACATTTGGGTTGCTTCCATATCTTGACTATTGTAAATAGTGCTGCTATGAACATAGGGGTGCATGTTTCTTTTTGAATTATAGTTTTGTCCATATATATGCCCAGGAGTGGGATTGCTGGATCATATGGCAACTCTTACAATAGAATGATTCTTATCTTTTATTACTACCTATGCCACAACTCCACCCTCAGAATACTGCCTTTTTGTCATCTCAATTTATATTCAGATACCTAAAACCTAGAACATACTCCCTTGCTCACTTTCTCATTGTTCAAAGAACCCTGACTACCATTCCCTTCTGGGGAGTGGTAAAAACAGAATAGTAGGAGTCAAAAAATGGTAAATTTGGGGAATGTGAAGAAATGCTGAATTAGGGATAATTTATCACAAAGAAAGGTGGCATGCATTTGAAATGGGAGATTTGAGCAATGGAGAAGAGATCATTAAAGTCCCTTCCCTTTTATCTGAGTCCTGAAAAGTAAACAAAAGCCTTATTAAGCTTGTGTGAGTATGGTTTCTAGTAACTAAATCAAGTATCCTTTTTCAATTTTAAATTTAAAGTAAATAAAATTGGGGAATGAAAATGTACTAAAAGTGATTTATGGTGATGGTTGCATTAGTCAGTGAAGTTACTCTAAAAATTCATTGTGTTTTACACCTGAAATGGGCATGTGTAAAATATACCTCAATAAAGTTGTTTTTTTAAAGCTACAAGGAAAAAAAATGAAATAACACTAAAAACTCAATCCCTTAGTCACACTAACTACATTTCAAATACCTAATAACCTCATGTGGCTAGTGGCTACCATTTTGGACAGCATAGGTCTAGTATATAAAACTTTTCCATGGTGTTAAAAAATACTTTCTTAAATCTGTTTTAAGATTTCTTAAGTGTGAGTGTAAAATACTTACACTTACAACAGACATATAACCAAAATAGAAAACATGAAAAAATCGAGTATCCTTAACACATCAGTGACTCTTAAAAGAAATATACAATGATAATAAATATTTTAAAAGTTCAAGGCAGCTAGCAAGCAAAGAAATGCATATTAAAAGGACAGTGAATTAGTATTTTTGTCTATGAAATAGGTATTAAAAAAAAAAAGATGCTCCTAATGTTAAGATGGGAAGAAATGGATACTGCTGACAAAAGTGTAAACTAGTACAACTTTTCTGAAAGTTGGTTGGACAGTTTGGAAATAAGTATCAAAGACCTTAAAAGTAGGCATTCTCTTTGACTCAGCAATTCTACTTTTAGTAATTCATCTTAGAAAAATAAATGTGGATGGAAGCAAGGATTTATCTATGAGGGTTTTTAATGCGATATGGTTAGAATGGCAAAAAATAAAAAACCGTCTAAATGCCCATCAATAGGGCGTTGATTAAATTGATGATACATTTATAGAATAGACTATTAAGCAGCCATTTAAAATTATATAATAGAATATTTAATAATATTTTAAAATGTTCATTGTGAATTATATATTGGTTAATGAAAAATAAAAACTTTTTAAAACTAAATGACCTAGAGTACTCAAAGCCATAGAAACAGCAAAGTAGAATGGTGGTTGCCAAGGGCTGGGGGGAGGGGGAAATGGGGAGTTGTTTAATGGGCATAGAGTTTCAGTTTTGTAAAACAAAAAGGTTCTGGAGATTGATTGTACAACAATGTGAATATACTGTTAAAAATAAGACAACAGGCCCACAATGGAGTTGTTTATCCTAAGCCCCATGTTACCAAACCAAGACTTGACTTAATTACAGTTTCAGCTCTCCCCAAAATGGAATCTTAAACCAGCCAGTCAGAATTGCCTAATCCACACTCGTTAGGTAATCTACCTGATAGACCCCTGCCGTCCCCTAAAGGATGCAATAACCAACCACTCTTTTGTCCAGTACAACTCCCTTGCTCCCACTCCCTTCTGCCTATAAAAGTCTTTCTTTTTGTACAGCTCCTCAGAGCTCCTTTCTGTCAGCTAGATAGAATTCTGCCTGATTCATGAATTGTTGAATTAAAACCAATAAGATGTATAAAATTTACTCAAGTTGAATTTTTTTTTTTTTTTTTTTTTGCGGTGCACAGGCCTCTCACTGTTGTGGCCTCTCCCGTTGCGGAGCACAGGCTCAGCGGCCATGGCTCACGGGCCTAGCCACTCTGCAGCATGTGGAATCTTCCCAGACCGGGGCACGAACCCGTGTCCCCTGCATTGGCAGGCGGACTCTCAACCACTGCGCCACCAGGGAAGCCCTGAATTTTGTTTTTTAACAATACTTAACACTATTGAAAATACACTTAAAAATGGTTAAGATAGTAAATTTTATGAGTATTTTACTAAATTTTTAAAAATAAACTTAAAAAAGAAAATAAATGATTCTATTTTTTATTTTAAGTATTTTATTTTAAGTATTATGTATGCCTTTATGCATACGTAAATCAAAATGATAATCATAGTTATCTCTGGGTGTTAGGATTACTAATACATTTGATTTTATTTTTATTTTTCTGTTCATGTCTACCATGAATGTGTGTTACTTTTGTAATCAAAAGAATGTTATTATATCTCCGACTCCTTTTTTTTCAAGTTATTTATTTATTTTTGGCTGCATTGAGTCTTCGTTGCTGCACGCGGGCTTTCTCTAGTTGCAGTGAGCGGGGGGCTACTCTTCGTTGTGGTGTGCAGGCTTCTCATTGCGGTGGCTTCTCTTGTTCTGGAGCATGAGCTCTAGGCGTGCAGGCTTCAGTAGTTGTGGCACTCGGGCTCAGTAGTTGAGGCTCACAGGCTCTAGAGCGCAGGCTCAGTAGTTGTGGCACACGGGCTTAGTTGCTCCGCGGCATGTGGGATCTTCCCAGACCAGGGATCCAACCCACGTCCCCTGCATTGGCAGGCGGATTCTTAACCACTGTGCCACCAGGGAAGTCCTCCAACTCCTTGATGACTGAAATTCCTTCCACATGGAACAAAACCTATAGTCTACATTTAGAAGTACATTAAGCCTAGTGAAAAAATATCAAATGGTATAAATTCACTCTAAAGTGTAATGAGGCTGTCAGGGGAAAAAACAGGAGGTAACTGGTTGCCTGAAAGGGGTAGGAGGAAATGTTTAAAAAATTAGAGATTCAGAAAAAAGACAGCAAAATTACCAACACAAACTTGGCCTACTTCAAAATTTTGTCCAGCACTAATTCTGGTTAGATCATACGAAAAAGTAGAGAAGACCCAAGATCCTTGAGAAATTGCTTGGGCAAGAAGCAATCTTGGGTGCAGAAAAGGCCAGTTTTTATAATTCTGTCATTTAGACCTGGGAAAATATTTTGTTGGATTTTCCTGTTTTCGCTGGGAGATTTATGTGTTCTGGATAATTTGTATACATCCTAATTGTCTCTCTCATTTTATTTCATTTTATTTATACGACATAGGGAAGTCACACAGGGCCCATTAAACATGTGCTCACCCTCCTGGAAATTCCTTTTCAATGTATACACTGAGTGTGCATGACAAAGAGAATTTCATGTACTGATTTAGACTATATTTCACTCAATATATAGTATGAATGCAGTGACCAGCATGCAGAATTTTTAAGAACATCTCATTTTCAAATGTCAAGTTCTGTTGTTGCATAATTACATCCCAATATTTGGTTTGGAAACTATGGTCACAGTGAAATAGATTATATACATTCTTTTACTTGAGAGGGTCCTGGCACACATGGATTGAGCAGGCACACTGATCCCGCCAATGGAGCAGAGTTTTTTCCCTTCAAAGAGATCCTCAGGGCTCCAGAAAATCTCCCACTGTTGTTGCCCTTCAGGAAGAGATTTAAAGATCATTCTCCAACACCAGTAAATTTCTGTTAATCTCAAATCAAATAAATACGTTTTCAGCTTTAGTTTTAGTTGAGAAGTTGGTATGTTAAAGAATGTTTTAGCTCCAACCGCAACACACATAGAGGAAAAAGCACAGCCTTCAAGCTCTGATGTGCAAAGAGTTAACATCTTAAGAGCTAAACAGAACTGTATTAACTCCTCTCTTAACAAGCCAGGAGGACAAGAGGATTCTATAGGACTGAAGGACATCAAAACAGAGAAAAGAATTAGAGAGAGCTCTCTGGAGGAAGCAAGAACTGTAAGTTTATATCTAATACATATTTATAGTCTTTCATTTCTTTCCTTAGGGTGTTTTTGAAAAGAGTGAAATGTTTATTCATTTTGTATTGTGCCTGTCTCCCAGGCATCCAGACACAGTATCACTAGGTCATCTTTAATCCTGTCACCTTCTTAACTTCATACCACGTCCAACTAGTTGGCAAGTATTTTGATTCTCCTTCCTCAGTGTCTTCGTGATCTATCCCACTCTTCCATCCCCCTGCCACCATCCTTCTTAATTCAAGGCCACTTGCCTGAACCACAGCAATATCCTAATGTTCTTCTCTGCCAGTCTCTCTAACTCACTTATGCCAGATGAATCTTCCTAAAGCCCTTCCACAGCTCTAACTCTATTGCTCTTGTGCTCAAAATGTGTAATTCTCACCCATTGGCAGAATGAATACGATGCCTCTAATTTATATGCAAGATCTTCCAAAATATGCTTCCTTTCACTTAAATTCCCACAACTCTTCTTTCTCAAAGTTGTCATGCCTACCTGCTACTGTCGAAGACCACCCTGCTCTTTGCCCATCCCTGATTCTATTGAAACTCTCCTCTGTCTGTATAGAACACTCTGTATCTCCACCTGCCAAAATCCCTCCCAGACTCCAACAACCCTCCCTCCATAAAGCTTTATCTGATCCTTCAAGTAAATGTGAATTTCAATCTTCCTTTACACTTTCATTTTGCTTTGTTCTTCTCAGATTGACTTTTTTTTTTTTTTTTTTTTTTTTTGCGGTACACGGGCCTCTCACTGTTGTGGCCTCTCCCGTTGCGGAGCACGGGCTCCGGACGCACAGGCTCAGTGGCCATGGCTCACCGGCCTAGCCACTCCACGGCATGTGGGATCTTTCTGGACCGGGGCAGAAACCCGTGTCCCCTGCATCGGCAGGCGGACTCTCAACCACTGCGCCACCAGGGAAGCCCTCAGATTGACTTTTTATATTTTACCTTACAGTTAAGTATGTGCTTTTCTCATTTCTCCTCTCCTCATTAATTGTTCACTTATTTTCTTTCTGTTTTTGTGGGAAACTATGTTTTTTATTGTTATGATTGACATACAGCAGTGTATAAGTTTAAAGTGTACAGCCTAATGATTTGACTTACATATATTGTGAAATGATGACCACAATACATTTAGTAAACATCCATCATCTCATATAGATACAGAATTAAAGAAATATAAATACATTTTTCCTTGTGATGAGAACTCTTAAAATTTACTCTCTTAGCAACTTTCATATCTAACATACAGCAGTGTTAATTATATTTCTCACATAGTATATTACAACCCTGAAAATTATAACTGGAAGTTTGTACCTTTTGACTGTCTTCATCCAATTCCCATTCCCCCCTACCCCCAACTCTGGTAACCACAAATCTGAGGGCTTTATTTTTCTTCTCCTTGTAGCAGCTGCACAAAATGGGTACTCAGTAATATTTGTCAAATTAAGTTCAGTCCAAATTCCAGGAGTTCCTGTCATCTTTTCTGATCATTCATACAACCGACACTAAAATTACAGAGACTACACTTTTCTCCATAGCTTCTCTTTATCTCTGTTCCAAGTTTTTCCCTCAATGCTTACATCTCCTTTGCTTCTATCCTCTTACATAAGATCGGCTCCTCCTGAGTTCCCTCACTCATTTTAAAACTATTTTCTTTAAGAGTCTATTCACAAATTGTCCCTTCCTTCCGCCAGATTTGAAGGAGCCCAATTTCAGCGCCCCTTTCAGGGACTTGACTGTTTGGCCTGTTAAAGTTAGTAATGGGAAGACCTGAATTCCCAATCTATATTAAATTTAAAATAGCTAAAACCCTACTTCTATATGTTGACTCATAGGCCCACTTAATCCATGAATTTTTAGAGGATGGGAGTATTTTTGCAGCATTTCCTATGCTCCACTGAAATGCTACTGACATTCCTTTGAGCAGATTTTTTCACCTGATTTTTACATTTTTCTTCTTTTTTCTCTCTCCTCCTCAAATCAGTGACACCATTATGGCTCTCACTTCACTGTGTTCTTGGACGTGAGGGAGAATTAATGCAAAACTTTGTAAAATTATTAAAAGCAACTCTAAAAAGGAAAACAATTTCTGCCACAATCCAATATCATAATAATACATCAGTTGAAAAATTATTATGTATCTGCAGATACCAGGCACTCTGTTAGGTACAAAGATATCCTCAAAAGAGCTGATAGAGGGTCTTCCCTGGTGGCACAGTGGTTGAGAGTCCGCCTGCCGACCGGGTTCGTGCCCCGGTCCGGGAAGATCCCACATGCCACGGAGCGGCTGGGCCCATGAGCCATGGCCACTGAGCCTGCGCGTCTGGAGCCTGTGCTCTGCAACGGGAGAGGCCACAACAGTGAGAGGCCCATGTACCGCAAAAAAAAAAAAAAAAAAAAAAAAGCTGATAGACTAGTGAAGAGACACATGATATATAAACACTATAGAGAACTGACTTATACTAACCAACATACAAGATAATTACATATATAATATAAATCATTAACTTATACTGATAAATGCAATAGAATTATCAATTGGCTAGAGACTAGTTCAGTGAAAACAACAAAAAACAGCTAGCATTTAGCTAATATGGAGCCTGTACTAAGTGCCAAGCATTATGCAAATTTTTTATAGGCATTATCTCAATTCACCCTCATCATAACCATATGAGATGAGTATTTCATCCCTATTTTATAGGTAAGGAAAATAAGCAGAGTGGTTAAGTAACTTGTCCATGGTCACACAGCAAAAGATGTGGATCCTTGTCTTTCTTATTCCTAGGCTCTTGACCACAGTCACTATTTACAGTTCATTCTCTCCAACTTTAATCAGAGGTGAGTATAAAATCAGAGTAAGGGGAGTTGGCTGTATGATTTTAATTTTTGATGTCATCATACTGGCTTTATTCAGCAATCACTACTAAAGACTAATTCTTTGCCCTCACTCACCTACCATTGCCCCAGTGCACTGCAACTCAATACCACTGCGACGGATTTCTTTTTGTCTTTTATTTCATTGGGTGCAAAACAAGTGATAAATTCTTCTTCCTTACATCTACTCTCCACTCCTTTTTTCCTGAGAGATTAAATCTGGTCAATTCATTGGATTTGGATGTCCCTTCATCACACCTTCACTGACATTCTCCCCTGAGTTTTCTTTTCTGGCATTCTGATAGGCTCCATTTCATTCTTAGAGCTTCTCTGACCATTTTTAGTGGTGCTTTCCAGTGGCTCCATAGTGCTATACAGCTTTGGTGGTGTATTTTGGAAGGGTCATAAACCAGAACAATCTTTTCTGGGTCCAGGTATTAAAGAACCACAGCATCCCTTCCTCCACTACAGCTTCATTTTTGCAAATGGCTTCAGGTCCAGACGACGAGGTCTGTGATGCAGTCACCCCTCCTTTCCCTTCATCTTACTTCTCTACGATAGGAGGCTGAGAAAGTGGGGTAATATAGCAGACCTACGAAAGCTACTTTCAGTGTGAGGATTGACGTTAAAACAAAATGGTTTCCTTGGTTGCTTCCGTTTTGTTCTTATCCTGGGACTATTGTCTAACATATGAAAGCGTATAAACTTTTGGGTGATAGTCAGCTTCCTTAATATAGAAATCTGTAAAGATCCCTTTAAAATTATGTCATTTGAAAGATATTCTCCACTTATTGTGGTTTAAAAAAGTGAAACATCACAGAACAGAGTATGAATGACTCAATTCAAGTTAAATTGTCTGGAAAATAGATCAACAAAATGTTAATGTTTTCTCCCAGTAATAGAATTTCTCCATCATGCTTTTTTACCTTCTTTGTATTTCTCTGCTTGTTCAAAATAAGCTTGTGAGCAAACTTTGTAAGTTGACAAGTCAAGCTAGCTTCAGCAAAAAGGGGAATTTGTTGTAAGGACATAATACTCTCCTACAGAACCTAAGGGCAGGAACAGAGACAGGCCTTGGAAAAGACTAAAATCAAGGATAGGAAGCTTTTAGGACCTTTTAACTCAGCCACTCAGTGTCATTCTCTCTCTTGACTTGTTATTCATTCACCTATTCACTTATTCAATATATATTTATTAGGTGCCTACTACATTCTAGGAGTTGTTCAAGCGCTGGGAAATAAACGTAAATAAGATAAACCAATTGTCTGCTTTCAAAGTCCTTATATTTTAGTGAGAGGAGGTAATAAATAAGTGTAAATAAATGAAGGTAGTTTCTGGATATGGTAAGTGTTACCAGTGAAATAAACAGGGTGACATGACAGAGTATAACTGAAGGAGTCCTCACTTTAGTTATGAAGTCGGAGAAAGTCCTCTTGGCAGATGAAAAGATCCTGAGAGACTGAAGGATAAGAAGGAACTAGCCATGTGAAGAGCAAGGGGAAGAACATTCCAGCCAAGTACAAAAGTCCTGAGGCAAGAGGGAGCTTGCTGGTTCCAGGAGCAGAGAGGAGGCCAGTGGCAAGGAAAGTTATTTGCTAGAGGAGGAGAAATACAAAGCATGATCTGAGAAATAGGAAGAAGGTCAGATCATAGAGGCCATGCTGACTACAGTAAGGAGTTTAGATTTTATTTTAAATGTAAAGGAAAACCACTGGACAATTTTAAGCAGGAAATGCGATGACCTGGGTTGTTTTTTAAAGAGCACTCTGGATGTTTCAGGGAGAATTGGTGGGAGGGGGATGGAGAGAGGAAAATGGGTAGAGCATTAGGAGAACATTATGGTAGTTGAGGTAGGGGACACTGGTGACAAGAATTAGAGTAGTAGCTGTGGAGACAGGGTGATATATATTTTTAGGTGGTACCTGGAGGATTTGCTAGTGGATGACAGAAAGGGAGAAATTGAGGCTTTAGGAAATGGTGGGATGGTAATTCCATTTATGGAGATAGAGAAAGCCTGGGAGATCAGGTTTGAGAGAGAAATTAGAATTCTTGTGTGAGACAGGTGAATTTGAGATACCTAGCAGTCATGCAAGTGGAAATGATTAAAATTCAGGAAGATGTACAAATCTGAAGGTCAGGGCTGGAGACAAAAATTTTGGAAACAACAGCATGTATACACACACACACACACACACACACACACACACACACACACACACACACACACACACGGTATTTAAAGCCAGGAGATTGGATATTATAATTCAGAAAAAGAGTGTTGACCAAGGTTTGAAGTGACTCTGCAGGTAGGATTTCCAGAGTTATTTAGGCTACAAAGCAGAATATGGCCATCCCAGAACTCCCAAGTTTATGTAATAGTCCTAGCCATTCACAGAGGCTAATTTAACTCTCTTAGTCCCATTTCCAAATGCCTGGGGAAAAGAATCTGATTGGCCCAGCTTAGGTCAGTTGTCTACCCCTGGTCTAATGAACAATGACTGTGGAAACTGGATCATAGACTATAAACTGGTTACTGGTGACTCAGTCCGTATGAATGGAGTGGAGAGGGGTTCAGAGGCTCATTTCCTGGAGAAAGGATATGGTCATTGGCTTCCAGGCTGAGCAGACACTTTAAAAATGATTCAAAATGGTATGCATCAATTCTATAATCAGAAAAATTGATTTCATTTTGAAGAAATAATGTCATTATTACTGAATGCTTGGTCTTACCCTTCAGTGTAGAGTGATCCACATCACTACAAAAAAGACTATGTCATGTTATATACCATCCTGAAAGTGTTGAGGAATTCCTGCTACAACTTAAGTATAGCCTGCAGAAGGCATCCCAAAGTTGCATGTAATTGGCTGAACTTTTCCTTTATTTTAGTGTCCTGTGGTATCTCTCACAGCTTGGGAGATGATACGACATCTCATCTTCTGGTGGACAATACAGCCAAGGCCCTGTTAGAGACATAGACCCGATACCTGTGATGGTACCAGCGTCAAAAGGTAAATTCGGTGCCTGAGGATGGATGTCTTTTAGAATGAAAACAACCCTCAGTCTGTTATTGTCGGGCGTCTTGCTAGCCTTCACAGTGACTGCTTTGCTCTCAGGTCTTTTCTTCAATCTTCTCAACGTTTTATTCATATATTCTTATAATAAAATTTTTACTGTGTGGGTTTAGGAGGTAAAGATAAATACCACCACCACAAATACCACAACAAAAACCAAGAGCAAATGAGTGGGTCTCATTCTTCTATCCATGTGATCAGCCCTTCACTCTCACTAAACAGAGGTAGGCAATTTAAAAGGAAAGGGCAAGGACTTCCCCGGTTGCACAGTGGTTAAGGCTCCATGCTCCCAATGCAGGGGGCCCAGGTTTGATCCCTGGTCTGGGAACTAGATCCCACATGCATGTTGCAACTAAGAGTTTGCATGCCGCAACTAAGGAGCCCATGAGCCGCAACTAAGGAGCCTGCCTGCTGCAACTAAGACCTGACACAACCAAATAAATAAATATATATTTTTTAATTAAAAAAAATAAAAGGAAAGGGCATGGCCCCACTAGCGCTTCTTCCCCACTCACCTTAAGATGCTTTTGTAACTTTGTTCATACTCTCCCACCCCTCAGTCCTATTCATAGCTACTATTAATTCTACTTTCACTTCATTTCACTTCTGTAAGTTTTATTTCAAAGATAGGGCACTTTATGCACTGCCCATGGGTGTATAAATGGTACCATCGCTTTGGAAAAAATCTTGGCATTATCTAGTAAAATTGAACATGCAGCTTTTTTTCTAGATATAAAATTTTCAGGGATTTTTGCATATATGTACCAAGAGACATTTATCAGAATGTTCATAGTAGCGTTGTTCATAAGAATAAAAAATGGAAACAACATAAATGTCCATTGATCAGAAAATGAATACACACTGACGTATAATTATACACTGAAATAAATTTTTTTCTTTATAATAAATAATTTAATTTTCTTTATAAAATTATAAAGAAATACAAGGCAGTTATTAATACAATATTCAAGATAGTGGTCCCTCTGGGAGAAGAAGGGAATAGTATGGGTGAGGAACTTACAGAGGGTATTAGTAACCTCCTGTTTCATAAGCTGGTATGTATGTATGTGTACGCTTCATTATTATTCTTTAAACTGTCCGTATATGTTTTATTTCCTCATTTATATGTGTGAAATAGAAAAAAATAACATATGTAGTAATATTTATATAATAATACATGTATAATGTATGTTGTATATAATACATATATATTATACATAATAGTTTTATTGGGATATAAATTACATAACATAAAATTCACTCTTTTATAAAAAAGTGTACAGTTTCTTAATTTTTACTATATTCACAGAGTTGTGCATTCATCCCCGGTACCTAATTTTAGAACATATCATTACCTCCCCCAAAAAACCTTATAGAAGACATTCCCCATGTCCCCACTCCCTGCCCCTGGTAATCACTAATCTGCTTTAAGTCTCTGGATTTGTCTATTTTGGACATTTTATATAAATGGAATCATATAATATATGATTTTTTGTGTCTGGCTTCTTTCACTTAGCATAATATTTTCAAAGTCCATCCAAGTTGTAACATTTATCAGTACTCCAGTCCTTTTTATTGCTGAATAATAATACCACATTTTGTTTATACACTCATCAGTTGATGGACATTTGAGTTATTTTCACTTTTTGGCTATTGTAAGTAATGCTGGTATGAACATTTGTGTACAAGTTTTCTTTCATTTCTCTTAGGTATATACCTAGAAGTGGAATTGCTGGGTCATATGGTAACTCTATGTTAGTTCGAGGAACTGCCAAACTATTTTTGAAAGCAGTTGCACATTTTTACATCCCTACTAACAATTCATGAAAGTTCTGATTTCCTCATATCCTTACCAATAGTTGTTATTGTTATTGAAGTGGTATCTCGTGTTGTTTTTTAATTTATTCTTTCTTTTTGTGGTTTTGATTTGCACTTCCCTAATGAGTAATCACGTTGAACATCTTTCGTGTGTTTATCAGCCATTTGTATATCTTCTTTGGAAAAATGTCTCCTCAGATCCCTTGCCTATTTTTTAATTGGGTTCTTTGCCTTTATATTGTTGGTTGTTAAGAGTTCTTTATGAATTTTGGATACACGTCTTTTAACAGATATATAATTTGCAAATATTTTCGCCATTCTGTTGGTTGTCTTTTCACTTTCCTGATAGTGGCCTTTGACGCACAAAAGTTTTTAATTAATTAGTTTATTTTTTGATACTTGTGCTTTTGGTTCCATGTCTAACTTCATAGTGTCATGTCTAATACTTCATGGCCCAAGGTCACAAAGGTTTATTCCCATATTTTCTTCTAAGAATTTTATACTTCTAGCTCTTACATTTAGGTCTGTGATCCATTTTAAGTTTATTTTTGCTATGGTTTGAGGTAAGGATCCAACTTCATTCTTTTGCATGTGTCTATCCAGTTGTCCCAGCACCGTTTGTTGAAGAAGTTATCCTTTCCCTACTGAATTTTCTTGGCACACTTGTCAAAAATCAATTAACCATACATGTATGGGTTTATTTCTGGACTCTCAATTATATTCCACTGATCTACATGCCTATCCTATGCCAATACCATGGATTATTATAGCTTTGTAGTAAGTTGAAATCAGGATGTGAAAAATAACTTTGTTATTTTTCAAGATTATTTTAGCTATTCTGGATCCCTTGTATTTCTATCTGAACTTTAAATAATGCTAAAGCTAATAGGTAGAAATTTTATAATGTCATAATTTAAAAGTTTAATGTCATACAACATTGTCATAATATACAATGTAAAATTATTTCCTCACAAAATAATTATTAGTTAATAGGTTTTAAAAAGACTTGTCAATTAACTTTATGGTAGACAAAACTATCAGACACCCTCTTAACCAATAACTGAAGTTAACATTAATGGTAATGAGACTGGTGGAGATACCAACATTATGTGCCTCCTGATATAATGCACTGAGAAGAGTATAGCTTCAGTTCTGTGGGATTCCTGCCCCGAATGCATAACCTGAACCCATTATGAAGAAACATCAGACAAACCCTAACTGAGGGGCATTCTACAAAGGAATTGGCCTTTACTCTGTGCTCTTAAAATGTCAAAGTCATGAAAGACAAGGAGAAACTAAAAAAATTATTCTAGAGTGAAGCAGACTAAAGAGACATGGCAATCGAATGTCACATGGTCCTGAATTGTTGAAATTTGAATGGTCTATGGGTTAGATGGTAAAATGATATTAATGTTAATTTCCTTATTTTGATGGATATACTGTGCCTATGTACATATGTTCTTCTTTTTAGGAAATATACAGTGAATTCTTTAGAAGTAATGGGACATCGTGTCTATAATTTCCTTTTAGGTGGTTCCAAAAAGTAATATGTAGAAAATATATGTCATATTATATATTATGTAACAGATATATGTAGAAAGAGAGAGAAAGAATAGGATAAGGCAAATGACGTAAAAGGTAACAATTGTGGAATCTAAGTGAAGGGGATATAGGAGTTCTGTGTATTATTCTTGCAAATTTTCTGTAATTTTGAAATTATTTCAAAATAAAAACTTATTAAAAGAATTGTAAGAAAAAATGAAGAAAGACTTTAAAAATTGTGAAAAAAATTGTGAATCACTATATATTGTACACCTATAACTTATATAATATTGTATATCAACTATATTTCAAGTTAAAAAAAAAGAAAGGAAAGAGACATTATTTTTGCTTTTCTTTTAGGAACAAAATAATTAGAAGATGTTATAACATATGAGGATGAATAAACCCTAGTGGCAATTATGGCTAACCTGTCTAGCTGAGCCAAAGCTAGTTGATTCATGTGAGATAGATAGGGAAAAGAAGTCTCCAGAAGGGAAGCCAAGCGCCTGGCCCAAGGCCTGGGAGTTTTACTTGATTTCCAAAAGGTTAAATCATTCGTATACAGGGATTTTATTGCGGGAGGGGAGAGATTGGTTACTGGGAAAAAGGAGGAGGGGGATGACTTACCTGAATCAGGAATTGCTGGGGTCCTGCTGGTATTCTTGAGACCAAATAGATTGCATAGATAGAGATCCAAACTCCTTTAGATAATATTCTCTACTTGGGAAGACTGTCATTAACTGAACAAACAGTCTTTCAGTATCATTTAATCAGACAAGACTATTCATAGAAAGTCATTGTGTGGGAAGTCTTAACCTCATAGGAAGATATCTGAGACACAGCTGACTTAATCTGGGTCAGGAGGGTTAACGATTCGCTGGAGGAAGGAACAGAATCAGAGACTAGCCAGATCCCTGACTTCCATGAATTCATCTCACCTCAAGATTTCTCCTTCATATGCATAATTTTCATCTGCAATGATTACACATGCTATTACCCACTCTGTTTTCATCTTCTCGCATTCCTATCCTAACATAAAGAGGTCCTTCAAAATTAGGCAGAAGGGTGCCTTCTTGCCTAGAGAGACCAACTCAAGACACAGACTGAGAGAAAAAAAGTCTGCAAAACATATATATAACAAAGAACTTATATTCAGAATTTACAAAGAACTCTTACAACTCAAAAATAAAAATATTTTTAAAAATCCAACAAAAAATGAGCAAAAGATTTGAACACACTTTATTTAAGAAGAAATGCAGATAGCATATAGCACACAAGAAATGTTCAACATCATTTGTCATTAAGGAAATGTAAATTAATAATGCAAATTAATACACTTAAAACCCCTATATACCCACTAGGATGGCTAAAATTAAAAAGACCAAGTGTTGATGAGATGTAGAGGAACTAGAACTCTTATACCCTGCTGGTGGGAATATAATATGGTATAATCCCTTTGGAAAACAGTTTGGCAATTTTTTTAAAAAGTTAAACATGTACCTACCTTATGACCCAACTATTTCACTCCTGTGTATATACCCAGAGAAATGAAAACATATGTTACACAAAGATTTATACACAGATATTTATAGTAGCTCTGTTTGTAATAACCAAAAACTGGAAATAATCCAAATGTCCATCAACAGTAAATGGATAAATAAATTATGGTTTATCCAGAATACTACCAGCAATCAAAAGGAACTATTGATAAATGAAACACCACGTATGAATCTCAAAATAATACTCCTGAATGAAAGAAGTCAGACAAAAAAAAAAAAAAAAAAAAGGGACTCTCCTGGAGGTCCAGCAGTTAAGACCCCACACTTCCAATGCAGGGGACGCGGGTTCAATCCCTGGTTGGGGGCATCCCCTGCTCCAAAAGAAAAAAAACCCACTGGGTATATAATGGATGACTCGAACTATATAAAATTCTAGAAAATGGAAACTAATTTGAAGTGACATAAAACATATGTATCAGTGGTTGCCTGGGAACAAAGGTGCGGGTTGGGGCTAGGATGGGGTGGAGAGGAGTGAATTGCTAAGGGGCACAAGGAAACTTGGCAGTGATGGATATGTTCATTATCTTTTTTTTCTTCTTTTTTCTTCTTTTATATGTTCATTATCTTAATTGTGGTGATGGTTTCACAGATACATACCTATGTCAAAATTAATCAGATTTTACACTTTAAGTATGTTCAGGGTAATACATGTCAATTATACTTCAATAAAGTTATTTTTTTAAAACTTACATTTCATCATTTCCAAAGGATAGATTGGAGAGGTGGTAGTCGTACCTTAGGTAGTTCTGAGACTAAGGTTCTGAGCTCTCTTTCTTCCAGTGAAGGAGCTGTATTTTGAGCTCTGGGTTTTAGAATGGCTGCTACAAGATCAGAGCTGACTCTAGACTAGTGAACACTCACACACTCAAAGGTGTACTGTAGTTTCCTCTGCTTAGATCAAGCAGAGGCTGTATTCCAAGGAGGCAGCTTTGGGGACAATTTCTCCACACCACGGAAACAAAGGTGATGACTCTTGGTACTCAAGAAAGGTTTCTATCCTTTTCCTTACTGGGGATTCGAAGACAGTTGTGGGCACAATCCTTATTTAGGTCCAAATTATCTAATGAGGAGGAAAAATAAAAGAGTGGATTAAAAATAAAAATTAAGTAGACTAAAAGCCCTATTTGATACTTTTAGAAAGAGAATATACTTTCCAGACAGGAGGTTGAGTCATATGCTGGAATGATTTTCCACATCCAGGAGTGACATGGAATGATAATAAGGTCCATTGGTACACACTTCTTATACTTCCTGAAGTTTCCTCTTAAACACATGACTCAAAATAGATTCAAGGGCTTCCCTGGTGGCACAGTGGTTGAGAGTCCGCCTGCTGATGCAGGGGACACGGGTTCGTGCCCCGGTCCGGGAAGGTCCCACATGCCGCGGAGCAGCTGGGCCCGTGAGCCATGGCTGCTGAGCCTGCGCGTCCAGAGCCTGTGCTCCACAACAGGAGAGGCCACAACAGTGAGAGGCCCGCGTACTGCAAAAAAAAAAAAAAAAAAAAAAAAAAAAAAGATTCAAGCCCTCTGGGCAAGATGTGGTGAGAGATATGATGGGTTAAAAAATTACATGTAAAAATAATCTCCATTTACCCTCTCCTGGGACTTTAGGTAAGAATGTAAAGACTCAACTACCCTTGAACAGGATGACCCGGGAAGAATTGGAGGACCGTTTGTTTCGTCTTCGTGAAGAACACATGTTGGTGAAGGAGCTTTTTTGGAAGCAACAGGATGAGATCAAAAGGTACCCAGAGTTCTCCTTAAGTATTTAGAAGCTGTATCTACACCAGGCCTACACCACAATAAACCAAAAAGAATACATTTTCCTGAGATGTCTACACCAGAAAACAATTCAAATGTCAAGGATGGTTAACTCCAAAAATAATTTTTGAAGCAATATTGCTTTATTCTGTTTTCTTGCCAAACACATCAATAGACTGTGGCCATAGTTCATAAAGCATCATCAGAGTTATTCCAACCTAAAGAGCAAGAGACTGCTCAGGCTTCTGCCCTGGTCACAAAAGAGAGAATGGAGACGGGGGAATGGCCAAAATCTCAGGGGACCAAAGGCTACAGGGGCAAGTAAGGGAAGGGGTTTTTATTTACCAAAAATCATATTGATCATTTACTGTATGCAGGCATGTTATATGTGCTTTATATGTGTTAACTCATTTAATACTATTTAATACTATGAAAGAATCATCATTAAGAATGAAAGGGAGGGCTTCCCTGGTGGCGCAGTGGTTGAGAGTCCGCCTGCCAATGCAGGGGACACGGGTTCGTGCCCTGGTCCGGGAAGATCCCACATGCCGCGGAGCGGCTGGGCCCGTAAGCCATGGCCGCTGAGCCTGAGCGTCCAGAGCCTGTGCTCCGCAACAGGAAAGGCCACAACAGTGAGAGGCCTGCGTACCGAAAAAAAAAAAAAAAAAAAAAAGAACGAAAGGGAGTGCAAAGAGGTTAAGTAACTTGCCCAAGGTCATAGCCAGTGGGTGGCAGAGCTGAAAGCTCTTAACTCCAAAATATACCATACACAGTGACTTTAGGGTATTGGCTTTCAAAAGTGTACCAGACCTGGGTGCAGACCTGGAAAAGAATCCGAGATGGGGTGTGGGTAGATAAATAGATGGGCAGAATGAGAGTTCCAAAAGTCTGGGGTTAATATCTAGAACACATTTTGAAGATATTTGTGTCAATGCCTCCCAGCCAAAGACCACCAGGAACACACCTATAGCTGGGCAAGTTGGGTTAATTACTGCTGTAGCTTGAAAAAGTGCACAACATGGGCATCTCAGTAAGACTGTTAGAAAGAGCCTATTACAGGATTTTGGCTTCAGTTGGGTGATTTGGGGGAGGGTCCAAGGTAACAGAAGTTTGCTCTAGATTGGATACTGTCAGAAAGCAGGGGCAGTTCTATGTTTGGATATCTCAATGTCTTATCTACAGGGAGGTTAGACTAGAGTGAGGCTAAAGCTGTAATCGGGAAAGAAGCAGCAGTCACTCATATTAGCCAGGAGAGGAGCACGTTTGGTATTCTGCAGGTGGCAGAGTGAACTTGTTTTTGTCTGGGCTGAGACAAAAGTATGCAGCGGCCTTGTTTGGTATCACTCTGTCATGGTCTCAGAGTGGCCTTCTGTGATGTTGTTGATCTGTGAGATTATGTCCAACAGCACAGTAACATGGCCTAGTTGTGAACGCCAGGCCACCAAACAACACTGAGGACTAGCTATGTCAGACCAATTCCCCGATGGAGCATTGCTTTGCTTTCTCATTGGTAATCCCCAGGAGTGGTTCAGAACTTCATTTAGAATCTACAGTATTGCAGGCTTCCACTGTATGCCAACACTCTTCAGAATTGGAGATTCTTTTCTTTCTTTGTTTGTTTGTTTTTTGCGGTACGCGGGCCTCTCACTGTTGTGGCCTCTCCCGTTGCGGAGCACAGGCTCTGGACGCGCAGGCCCAGCGGCCATGGCTCACGGGCCTAGCCGCTCCGCGGCATGTGGGATCTTCCCGGACCGGGGCACAAACCCGTGTCCGCTGCATCGGCAGGCGGACTCTCAACCACTGCGCCACCAGGGAAGCCCTGAATTGGAGATTATTTTATATTGTGGAGAACTCAAGAATCCAGTGAAGTCAGATGGTTGCATGGGCCAAAAAACTTTGTCTGTTGGTCAGTAACCAAAAAGTACTTGAGGTTATAGATAGTAAGTGGCTAAATTGGATTCTAGCCCCTCAGACTTGGGGCAAGTTACCTAGCTGTTTAATGCCTTGATCTCTTTATCTGGATATAATGATACGTAATAATAATAGCTAACTCCTACAGTGCTTACAACGCACCACACTGTTCAAAGCCCTTTATATATATTAACTTATTTTATCCTCATAACAATCCAATGAGCAGGTACTATTTTTATCTTTATTTATAGATGAGGAAACTGAGCACAAAAGGGTAATGACATGCCCCAGGCCACATAGTAAATGTCAGAACTGGCAGGCAGTGAGAACACAGGATCTGATGGTAATGGTTAAAAGTATGATTTTAGATCAAGATAATAAATAGTAATTGACTATCCATTGTAGGTAAGGCTCGGTGTAAGTAGGGTGGGTATAGAGGAATAATCCTTAGAGTGGGCACATATACAGGAATGTGTGGACAGTTGGGACTGGAGAAGTAAATATTAAAATTTCTACATATATTTAATTATCTCCCTGTTAAAAATTAGTATTTTTTGTTTCTGTTTTATAATGACCATAATTTATTAGTACAAAAGAAACTATATAATTTAAAAATAAATATACACACGAATATACTGAAGACTGCCTCATTTTTTACTAAGAGAGTGTGTGAGCACTGCAACAGAATGAACAAAGACAGACACCAAGATGTCCCTGCTCTGAAAGAGTTACAGTGTATTGGGGGCAGAAAATTAATTTTTAAGTGTAAATAGTGGACTACAGCACATAAGTTTATATCAGAGATCAATTCAGATTATTAACCACCAGATAAACTGTAGAGATGGTAACTGTCATAGAAGGAGAGGGCATGAGCCACCAGCTCTCTTTTTGCCCACAGGATGAGGACAGCCTTGCTCCGGTCAGCCGCAGCAGGCCGGGACCGGAGGGCCGAGGTGACAGCGGCGGAGCAGCTCTCGGAGCCTACAAGGCGGCGGCGGAACGCGGGGTGGCGGCAGCGGCCCCCCAAGCACCTGCGACCCCAGCTGCACGGGCTGCAACTGCAGTTCCAGCGCGTCGGCCCCCCTGCTCCCCGTTGCACCCAGCCTCGCGTCCACGCGGGACACAGACAGCTCCACACCGCCGGGGCGGCGGGGGCCGAGAAACCCAAGAGGGGTGAGGCTCAGGGCCAAGTCCCCGACAGGGCCAAAACACTGGGAAGGATTGATTTGCCAGCCACATTTTCCTCCCACTGCTTTATTCCGCCCACCACGCCCATTTTGTTCTTTTGTTCTCGTTCCTTTCTACCTCCCTAAAATCTTTTTTTCCTGAGTAGGATGTCCAGTTCAAAGTTCTCAGTTCACCATGCAGTACTGTTGAGAGGAGAATCAGACAATGGAAATGGGAACTTTGCTGGTCAAGTTTTGCAGGGCTCTAGAAAACAGAGATAACTTTGATGACATGCTTAGGTGTGAGCAGCAGTGATCTTAAGACAGGTCCCTCTGCTAGGACTCTGGGACTCTGGGCTAAGTGGCCTGTGCCTCTAAAACTGGGGTTCTTCACCTTTTGGGGGAAATGGACTCCTTTGCAACCATGATCAAAAGCTAGGCGTTCTCCCAAGAAAAATGCACATACACATAGACAAAACTTTGCATACAATTCCATGGGTTCAGAGATTGTCAAATCCTATTCCTGAAGTCCAGGCCTTGGAAATCAGGCTGTTAAGTGAGGAGCTGCAGATTTTCATCTTCCTGTATCCCAAGTGGCTAAGCGTCTCTGGCTGCTGTGAAACCCAACACTGAATTAAATATAGTGCTGTGTGTAAATTTCCTTCACCTGGCCTACTCATCCCTGTTTTAGGTCCATGGGAATGGGGTGTCTTAACCCTGGGGACTCAATGTTAGGTTTTGTTCAGCACAGCCCTATATTTTCAAGCTCCCTCCTTGAGCCAACAAAATCTTTGTGAAAACAGCTAAAAGTAGAAAAACTAAATAAGTCTAAATTTCAATTCAGTTTAACTTCAGCATTATTGAATACCAGTTATATACTAGGCACTAGGGACAATGATGCATTAGAGTTAGATACACAGTCCCTGCTCTTCTTCCCCTTTATACTGACCTACTTGAGAGTCTGTAGTCCTGCTGACTTATTAAATCAGTAGTTGCATATTTTTGCAAGAGTAAAAACTGAGAAGCTCCCCTCTGAGATCATTGGTCATATAAGGATTTCCTCCAGATCTCAAGGCTCCCTACTTCCAGCACTTGGTGTTCCATTTCTAGCACTTGGGGTTCTGGAAAAATCTGTTGCCAGAGTCTGCATCTTCTGTCTAAACTTTCAGAGTCAAGGGACAGGCTGAGCTACACAGCTCCTCCCACATTCAAGGAACATGTGACAAATGAAAAAGCCAGAGGTGAAGTATCCAGTGAACCCAGCGAACAGTGAGTTCTTTTACTTTATCCTGTGCTGTTACTCTTTCAACTGTAATTGGAAAAACCTCATTTAGGGAACAAGTGAATGTTGCCATTTTTGAGTCATTCCAGCATAATCAGAGAAGATGAAAGTCAGCCCAATTTGGAAGCTGTCAAATTCCAACTTCATTGCTTAAAAATGGAAAATAAGCATCTCTTTGTCTTCCAAGGAAAGGAAAATAAAGACTCTTTCCTTAATTGAAGGTATTCCCTCTCTTTCCCTTTATATTTTCCCCCTTAGGTCGTAATTCACTTATATTTCTGTTTGACACTGGAAAGCTATATTTGGTAAGTTTATCCTCCACATATGCCAAGATTACTAACTCCTCTAAGTTCTTTTTATATATGTGAGAGCCCAGTTCTAAACCCCTATAACAGCAGTTTCTAATTCTTCTTTTCGTGTTTAATATTCCTAATTCTAACAGTATAATCTCTTTTAACAAAGTCATAATTATGATTAAACTCACTGGCCTATGCATGCCTAACAGTGCCCACATTATGACCAGCGATACTATGCAAGTGGAAGAACCACCCAAGTCTTCTGAGAAAATGTGGTCCAAAGATGAGAATTTTGCACAGAGAAGCTCTTTGGAGTGCGCTCAGAAGGCCACAGAGCTTCGGTAAGGGTGTGGCATTCCATGCCTCAAGCCATAATGAACTGAAAAAGAGGTTCTTGTTTGTACCTTTCTTCCATCTCAGAGGAAAAGAGAATGCTTGGGATTAATTCAATCTGAGAAGTAGACCTGGAGGCCCAAGTGGTTAAGTAATGGATTAACATAAAAGGGATGCTTATATATAATAAAAGTCTGCTGCTTCACTTCACAGAAGGAAAACTATTTCATCCTCATCACCAGATGGGGGCTCTCAGCCCCCACTGTGCATCAGTCCCTGGAAAACTTTTTTTTTTTTTTTACGTGGCTGGTCTGTTTTAGTCCCTGGAAAACTTTTTTAAAAATAGACTTTATTTTTTAGAGCAGTTTTAGGTTCACAACAAAATTGAGCATAAAGTACAGAGATTTCTTGTATACCTGCCTGCCACTTCTCCCCACACTGCCTCCTTCACTGTCAACATCCCACAGCAGCTAGAATTGGGAATCTCTGAGACAGAGTCTAGCGAACCCAAATCCTCCCCCAATACCTTTGAAATGATAAAGAAAACATGATCTCTTAGGTTCAGAAATAACGATCTTCCTTTGTGTCCCTGTCCATATCCACAGGGGGAAAAATACTTAACTCTGTCCATTCACAGAGGATATTTTAACACTGTCTTCTTTCTCCAGAGCTTCCATTAAGGAGAATATACAACTGATTCGACTTAAGAAGCTCTTACATGAAAGGAATACTTCTTTGGCAGTGACAAAAGCACAATTAACAGAAGTCCAAGCTGTGAGTTGCCATCATCAGCTGTGCCTTTTTGGGGGAAGAAAATCAGTTAGTTAAGAGATTTGTATTATTTTCTCCACTTTACACATGGGAGACCACAATGGAGAGAAACTAAGTTGCTTGTCGAAAGTCACACAATTGTGATGAATTGGGAGATTGGGATTGACATGTATACACTGATGTGTATAAAATGGATGACTAATAAGAACCTGCTGTATAAAAAAATAAATAAAATTAAATTAAAAAAAAAAAGAAAGTCACAAAATAGGTAGGTGATGTTCAAATCCAGGCCTTACGACTCAGAATCCATTCTTTTTCCAGTACTTGCCATTATCCCTCTGCTGGGAAGAAGGCTCAAGCCCTGCCTGCTAAGGTGGAATTAAGTGAGGTTACCTTGTGTCAGGTTAAGTTCCAAGCCAAAAACCACAACCAGAGTTTAATTAAACTTGGGGAGCCAAGAGCAGTCACAGGGGAGGGGAAGGAAACCAGATTACTGAGCACTTTCTATGTGACGGACTCTGTCCTAGATACTTAGAATCATGATCTCATTTAAGCCTGACAACAGCCATAAAGGTAAGTACGTTTAACGGATGAGGGAACTGAGCCTCAAAGAAGTTAAGTAACTTGCTCAAGTTATAAAAATAGCAAGAGGCAGAGCAGGATTTGAGTCCAGTTTTATCTGGCATCAAGGCTCACACTCTTCTCACTACCACACGATGGAAACTCATATCTGAACGGTAGAAATAGGGCATAGAGGTTCTAAATAATAGATTGGCACCATTCTTTTATTGAATAAACATTTATTGACTACCAAGAAGTGTGCAAAGCACTTGGATACAAAGATTAAAAAGATAATTAAGACAGCTCCTGCCTTCAAGGAACTTACAAGAGTGAGAGGACAAGATGTAAACAAGTACAACTATCCACAAACAGGGTATGGGTGAGACACAAAAGAGAGAATAGGTCCACCAGAGGATGGGGCGCAGGATCTGTAAAGGATCCATAAGAGATTCTATTCGTGAGCCAAATACTGACAGTTTGGCAGGGGTTAATAAGCGTGCAAGAGAGGGAAGGGCTTTCCGGGGAAGAGTGGTGTAGGCCACGGCACAGAGGTGAGAAACATCAGGGATCAGGTCATGGAGGTCTTATCAGGGATTTAGACTTTATCCTACAGATAGTGAGAGCTGCAGAAAGGTTTTAAGCAAGTTGGTAACATGATCAATTTTTTTTTCCCCAAAGAGATCACTTTGCCTTTTTTTAATGTCCAAAATATTTTGAAATACATGTTAATAAAAAGAATAATACTTTCAAGAAACTATTATAGAGCACTAATAATGATTAATTCTGGGTAGTAGTAGAATTATAGATGACTGCTATTATAGTACTTATACTTTTCTGAAATTTTCAACTTCTCAAAAATGACAAAACTACCAGGAAAGATCATCTGGCAGCAGAGTGAATGATAGGTTGGCTGGTACAAGACTGGGGGTAACAGATGAGTAACAGATGTTAATTAACAGATGAGTGATCCAAGGGAGGCAGGATGAGGGTCCCAACCAAGGCAGTGAGAGAGGCTCACAGAGAAAGGACTGTGTTGGGAGAGGTCCAGGAAGTGGAAGAACGGACTTCATCACCAAAGTAGAGTGGGTGAGAGAAAAGCAGAAATGAGAGATGACTTCTGGGTCTCTAGCTTGGGTGATTAAATGATGGTGCCATTCATTGAGATTAGCTACAGCTGGTGCTGCCCTTGGTATGTCTGTTTTGATTGGGACTAAGGGCATCTGTACAAGGCCAAACTCCAAACCTATGTTTTGTAGAGAACTGTGCATATGCTCGTATTCTTTTGATTCGGTTAATTTTGGTAGCACTGAAAGGATGGGAAATCTGGAAAGGAAGTTATTTTAAAGTTGTATGGGTAAATAGCTATATTTGTGGAATTAGATTTTTTAAAAAATCCATGTATTCTTCCATTGCATTAAAGGAAGAAAGGGAGAAAGCCATTCTAAATTGAATGTCTTTGCCCATATTAGTGGTAGTGGCAAAGATGACCTAAAATGGTGAATAATTTTCTAAAATGTAGGTTTTACAATTTGGTTTTTTTAAGCAATTTACCTTTCTAGTCATGCTTACTTACACATATACTAAGATAAGTTTGCATCCTCTTAATCCCTTAGCAGTAAAATGTGGTCAGTAGTGCAGACTCTGGAGTCACACAGGCTGAGGTAAAGTTCTGCCTCAGCTCCTTGAAAGCTGTGCAATTCTGGGCAAGTTAGCTCTATGAGCTTTGGGTTTCTTATTTTTAAAGTTTAGATAACAATACCTCTCGGATTTGCTGTAAGGATTAAATGAGATAATATATGTGAAACAATTATGATGATCATAATGTAAGAGATAATGAAACACACAGTAACATATAACATAGTAATTACTCAACCAATAATAGTAGCTGTTGTTGTGAGTTTGGCTATTGTTGTTTTTTCTATTTCTAAAACTGGAAAGAGACCTTTCTGAAGCATGATGAGTAAGAGATGGCACCTAGTTTGAAAATAAAAATACTTCTTAGAAAATCCACCAAGTGCAATGCAAATGTGAATAAATGACCCTTCATCCTTTTTAAAGAAATGGTGTCATCTATTACATTCACAGACTGCCTGGCAAGCTAGGGCAGGGGAAAAGGAGCAGCAATTAGTAAACAGGCACACAAATTGACTTGATTTATGGGAATTTTTTATAACATCTTTTAAAATATTTAAACATTTGTATTATAAACATCAAGTTGATATATCAATAGAATAATACTTTTTTCTTTCTTTCAGGCATATGAAACTCTGCTCCAGAAGGTACTTAATAAAGATTCCTTAACTCTATGTTTCTTAGTAATCAGAGGAATGAAACCCAAATGAATCTTCATCTTCAAGTAACATAACACCAGAATTTAGCTAACTATATCAAAGTTATTATGTTATATAATTTTTATTGAGACAAATGGTACTATCACTATTATCAGAAGATACTGCATTGTTTTCACAAAAATTGAAATATGAGATCTGAGTTGAGAAATATTTGGAATAGTATTTTTCAGCCTATTGCTACAGAGAATTATAGCATTTATTCAAAAATTCCTAAGAGTAGTCCTCTAGCATGTGTGAGGTGGTGAGATACAGCAAAGTTGTTACAAACCTTCTCTGGTGTTACTAAATATTTGCACCTCTGTGAGTGGGGTACAGGTGAAGCTAGGTAAGTGTCCGTGATTAAGAGTCACTAAGGCAGAGTTCCCAACATGACCAGCCACAACTGTTCCTCACCAGAAGGAACATGGTCATGCTGGGAACTCTGCCAGAAAAATGCACTTAACTTCTAGAGTTAACACATCACTTTGCTAGGGGCAAAAGGAGAAATATTTCATCATAAAAAGCATTCACATAGCTTAGAAGGTAAAGGCAGCTGAGAAAGGTGGCACTTAATTTAGAATCAGGGTTGAATTTGAACCTTGGGAAAATTAAGGCTCCAGTGACAAATTACAGTTTCCCAGAGTGGAAAATCCTCACTCACAGGGAAACGGTACTTCCTGAGAAATGCTAGGGTGGAAAACAAGGTCAATTTATAGTGCAGAGGCAACATAC